CTCTGCTCATATAGTCTGCTGCCAGAGTCTCAAGTCAACACTTGGCATCCAATGTGAATATAACCTTTGGTAACTAAGTGTTTTGTAAAGATTTCAGAGCTTCAGGGGCATGTGTTGCAAGATCAGGAGTTGTAAAGCATTTCTTCTCCGGAATTGTTTATTCACTTCGTCAGGCTATGGTAGATGAGGCAGCACAGCTGTGTATGCTACTCAGAAGTGGATACTCTCGCAGGACTTATGCATCAAGGGAACTTACTTCCCGGGTATGCCTCATACTTTGCCTCCGAGATCTGAAAAACTCTGTAAATGTTTCTTGTCCACATCACACGAGAAAGTTTAGTAAATGAAGAGTGTGTTCAAATGCATAGCATGTAAATATATCCGTTTTGGAAGATTTCGTAACTCATAGCGAGAAATTAACATTTTAATTGAAAACATTGAAAATATGTTCAGGGCTCCCCTTGTTCAGGATTTCGTACGTTTTGCATATATCATGTGCAGGTGGTATTCATGAGCCACCATAGCCATATCCATTGCAGGTGATCACATGCTGATAGCAAGCTTCCACACATTGTTCTTTTAGCAGACGTCAAGGACTTGCCTAGCTCGAAAATGTGCGGAGCAACATGCTCGACTTCCGAGACCGTACATGCGTCACGTTATTACTTTTGTCAGTCGGAGCACCACTGCCCTATTGCTTCTTGCGTAAGCATCGTACCCCCTCTGCAGGGCCGTAGCTCCTTCAACTTGTAGGAATGCTTTCACAACCTCACTCGGAGCTGTTACTGCTTAGTCCATTCAAAAACCCCCAAGAATACTGCTACTGTAGTCACCGACAGGGTTAGAACGGCAGGGCAAGCATGACAGGGCGTCTTGTGACTGCCCGGCCTCCAGCAAGCACTCGCCGCCTTTTGTGGTGCTTTGGCTGGCATGTACACTCGAGGCTCGCGAGATGCCAGAGTTCAAACAAATGCAGGACAGTCATGGTGGAGGTTGGACAACGCCAGAACTTCCCTACCATTCTAATCCTGGCAGCGACTACAGTTGTGGTAACCCGAGAAGCTCAAATTAGGGGAGTGCAGATATTTAAGTTTCGAATTCGAATTGAAAAACGATCGTCCAAATCAGTGGTTCTCAACCATTGATGTTTCGCGGACCCCTTGTGGATCAACGTAGATGATGGAGGACCCTGTTCGTGTTGAGGACCGTGAGGGGAGGGGAAATGTATATGTTAAATATAATAATTATTGAATAAATGGATATAACTAAGGGCTAGTGTGAAGTAGACCTCTCTTATTGACATACACACGAGAAAACTGGCCCGAAAACTGAAACATTTCTTCTCGACCTGAGAAAAGACAACTTTGATTGCCGGGCTCGATGATGAGGCAGGGCTTCGTGGACCCCTAGAATGCCTTTGTGGACCCCCATTTGAGAATAACTGGTCCAAATAATTACGTTTGACTTTCGGGTTCCTAGTATTTGAGTTTACGAATAGTTCTACATTTATTTGCGTTGTTCCTGTGGTGAAATAGTAATCACAGGCTTGTGTACAATCTATATCAAGCCTGCTTTCAGAAGCCTTGACAAGCAAACCATTTCAACAAAATGTACAAAATGTAAATAAAAGCAAAATGTTTTTGTTTTGTTTTGGTGTATATTTTTTTTTAATTTTTTTTTTTTTATGCAAAACGTTATATATGCATTGCCGAAAACTCATTCTCCACCCAAACGTAGCTCTTAATCGAACCAGACGCCAAAGTTCTAGAACTAACCATTACCTTATTCAATAGTTACAAATGATTTTCTGATATTTTCAATGGAACAATGGAATACATAGAGCTGAATGGCGCCAGTTACCGAAAATGGGCGCCATTTTCCCACTGAAATTTTCAGAACGTCACTTTTGAATGAGATACCAGTTCTGAAATGCCGGCATCTGGTTTGGAAGGCTAGCAGCTACATTTGGGTGAAGGATCAGCATTCAGCGATACATAGTTTATTGTTGCAGTGAAAAAGACTCTTTACATTTTTGGGAGACATTTTGTATTTTTTTTTTTGTGTTTCTCGAACAAAGCAATCGTTTTCCCAGTGTCTTGCGTGCGCTCGAGGAGAAACCTTAGCCCCAGCACGTTGCCATTTTGAAGTCAAGGATCTTGCATCACCTGCAGCCGGCTCTTCACACTCTATAAACATATTCTCGTTTGTTACGTCTATAATATGGCAAACAATTATAAAAGTTCAAAAGGCACTGATAACTGAACCGGTCTCTTGCACAAACCTGTGACTCCCTGCGGAGTCGAGCGAGGTGCCAGGGCTATATGCCGCAAGATGTCACGTGATTAATATTCTTTTAAATGCAATATTAATGCACTAGAATTTCTTTGGGCAGTCTTTACATGAAAGTTATCATCTGTAACACGAAGGGCATGCACATATGCAGGAGGGTGATTAAAGTAGAAATTGAGAAGAAAGACCAAAATCCTAAGCATCCCCCAAGAATCGAATCCAAGACCCCAGTATTTTGAGGACAACGCTCAACCACTGTGCCAAGGGAAAGACTTGTAAAACGGTAGTTATTACATGCCGTTTTCTTTTCTTACGGCACATATGTTTGGGTCGCGGTAAGGGGCGCTCACTGGATATGCCGCAGTTTTCACAATGTCTCGCAAGAGGAAGGGGCGGCCTGAAGAGGAAATAGTTGAACAGAGGCAGTGACTCAATAAAAATGTACAGATATTTTATTCTTCTTATCAGCTCAATATAACCAACCTTCATTGAAGACAAACAATGCTATTGTATTTTGGTGTGGTCTGCAGTGAAGCACTCCAGAAACACAGAACCGTTTATAGTCCTGTGAACATTGCCATTTAACTTATGATCTGATATTCAATTTGATATTCAACTTTTTGGCCACTATGCGATTCTAACTCTATTAGAGTTGAAATTTCACTATTCATACACCTCTAGTTCAAATCCTTGTTTTGTATTCTCGAGGAACGTTACTTTTATACTTGTTCTACTTTTCTTCTCAGCAAAAATTCACAAAGGAACTCTTCCTCTTCTCCACAAAAATAGGGAGTCCAAAATGCCCAGACTGACTCAGAGATGTGGTGGTAATAGTTTTCTTGAACATGCATAATTCTCCAACTAGCAATTTCTTTTTCTTGCCTGTTCCTGCTTTTGTTGTTTTCTCAGAAAACAAATCACCATTATATAAAATTGTTTGTCTACACCGTAAAATACTGAGCAGGCGCCCACCCAAAAGTTGGAGATAATAAAAAAAAAATTCCGAAGATACCTAAGCACTTCTTACGAGTTGTGAATGCAAAAGCATAAATGTCGTTCTACAGCTCCCTTAGTTTGTCTGCGGCATACTGGCATCGACAGCCACGTTTCGCTACTGCTGAGGTAGCGGCTGACAGCTGAGCACACGCTCTCGTGAAGTAGCTGCGCTACACTGAGCTCGGCTGTGCAGCCTCTCCGGAATTTGCCCATGCGAGCTCTGTGGACAGGCGCACCCTCTTACCGGTGGCCAGGCCGCCGCATACGCTGCACCGCCATAGAGAGGGCTTCTCTGGTGGCGTCCTTTGGAACTATGCCGCGCGAGAGCCAATGAGAGCCTCGTTCCTTAAAATTATGACGCATACCAGCCAATGGGAGCCTATCCATTAGATTTCTGCTACAGACGACAGGCTTCACTCCATTGGGACAGGGGAAGGTGCTGTTTGGCATGGCTTTAAAAGCTGATGATGTCGGTTCGCTCCATGGGACAGTTAACGCTTTCGCATTAAAAAATGGGGCTGGGCACTTTTACATTTAAAAACTGAAAAGACGAAGGGGCACATGGTAGGGTAGGCCCTTGCTTGACCTGACGGAACATTATAGGGGAAGTATAGAAACCTGGTAGGGAGCCTCCATTTTTAAAGCAGCTCTGCCACCAGGTCTCCTTTGCACCGGCGCTCAAGAGCATACACGTAAAGCTTTCATGCTTTACACTGACTTGTTGGAGAAGCAGCTGGCATGGAGGAGCATCTCAGTTAGCTTGGTGGGTTCAGAAATATGCCAGGACAAGCAATTGATATGTCCTTCAAATGTTTCAAAAGTGGGGGTGGGAACTTGTTGCGACGTCAGTGCATACTTGGTATTTTACGGCATCCCCTACTCTCCATCTTCTCAAATTTACCTTTATCGTCTTTCCCAAACTCTCCTCAATTTCTTTCTCCATGTTGCCTGACACAACCTGCTGTTGTACATCCCTCGTTGCTCAAGCATATGTTGCACAGACTAGGAAGTTGGTAGGTGCCTGAAGACACAAAAAGCACAAAGGTCCCAATTGCACAGTTGACTTTTCACCTTTCTCAGAACTCTGATAGACCAGTGCTGTTTACAATGAGTGTCTGGCAAATGTTTGCGGTGTCAGCTATCTAGGGACGAAGGCTGGGGAGCCTGCCAAGTGGGAAATCAAAAGGCCTGTCTCTGTCATTTTGTATTACCAGTACCAAAGGCAGCGTTGGCATCTCTTGGTAATGTAGTACGATGAGGCAACACCATATTGCATTATTGCGAAGGTGGCCAGATCTAGTAGGGCTCACATCTTGCCTACTGGCCGAGCTCTCTCAGTGCAGATGGAACTGCCAGTTACCGAGGGTCGAGTTGTAGATCCTACTGGGAGAGGGCACCACAAGCACAACCCTCAGTTAACTCGGGTCGTCTACGTTGGCACCCTCAGATTTCACAGGAATGAAGCTACAATTTCACGAGCTAAAATCCACCACTGAGCTTGGCCTTCGGCGAAAGTTTTAGAAATTGCTGCATGCAGGTGCCAATTTTTTCCGGCCTATTTTACAGTGAGCCTTGGGGTTTATGACATCCTATATTACCTAGCTGTCACATTAGTTTTGACACTAGCCCTCATAAAATGCCAAGGATGCCTCAAGCAATACCCCTTTTTATATGACATAGTAGTATAGGAAAAAAAAAAGGCTAACACACACATGTGGCCATGTTCCAAACGAGTAAACAAAAACTTTAATTGCGCACCATATAAAATGTACTCTTAAAAGTCGTAAAAGAGCCGCGCAACACCGTACCGGATTCCAAATGCCAAGAAACTGGATGCAACCTGCAAAGAGATTGAAACCAATTAAATGCAAGGTGAAGTATGATATATTAAAAAATAATAAAGAAAAAAATTGACCAGGAGATGGGGGCATGAACATTAAGGAAAACATGAAAGGATTAAATGGCATGTAAGACTGTCTACAACATGTGCCCCAAAACACTGGTTTGTGGTAACAGCACAGAAGGTGTCACTTCACCTAGTACCGTCCTACAAAGATCCCGCGAAGGCCACCTCGATCGGTAGCCCTGTATTTCTAAAAGAATGCTTACGCACGTCCAGCTGAACACAAAACCCTGAATTACCAGCATCACCACTATGGTAGGTTGCAGGGTCAAATTAGCACCTCAACACACCATTCTAGACCTCTCTCTGTACGCACGTCCTGAGTACAGTTGCAGAAAGGGGCAACTACCGCTCAATGACCTTGGTTTTATATCACACTTCCATGGACTATACCTTCAAGACCAAGTACTCCTGTGTGGTATGGGGTAAAGAGAAGCGCAGGCCCAGGGAGTGCAGAATAATGGCTGCTGCCCAAAATTACCATTTTAATGCCTGTCCAAACTGGGATCGTGAGGAGACACGACTCTGGCAAAAATTGTAAAAGCTGAAGCGTCCTGCAGTTTGACGTCTGGTTGAACACCACCAAGCCAAAATCACGATTTTCCTCTTCGCTCCCTCCGCTTTTCGGAGATTTCGGTGCTCGTCGGGCCTGACGTCACACGCCACCTGCCGGTGCTGTCCATTTGTTCTGCTGGGCCCTCATATCCTTGGACGTGTTCCAAAGTTAACTAGATTTTACTCCAGGGTGAAGGGTTTTGTACCTTTGCGTTCCAAAACCAACCCGCATCCAGTGTCGATCTATCTGTGTTATCAGGTGACATGACCCTCCCTAGTGACTCGGATCTATTTGGGTAATATTTCAAACACAGCCATTCCCTTTTCCATTTTCGGGACCTGAAGAGAAGCGGAGGCCTTGAGCGATTGACCGACAGTCAACAGAGCTTGTGAGTGGCTGTCTAGACCCACGCGATGAGCATGCTCAAGGCCCCCGTTGAGGGCATGGGTGAAATTTGACAAAGGGAACTTTCCTCCCGGCAAATAAAACAAACAGAAGCGGATTGCCATATGACTTATGCCAGAGTCATGTCACCTCACGATTCCTATTTGGACAGGCCTTTAGTCTACTCAACACCCCGATGATCACACATGGCTTGGGCAATCTTCCCGCCAAACAGACACCACACCTGACCTGACTTGGGCCTCACACCCATGCAGTGTCACATGACAATTTCACAATGACCTCATGGGGAGCGATCACTTTCCGATAGTTACCAGGATCAAAATCTGAGGCACACGTGGACCAGCAGCAGGTAATTGCACATCAAGAATGGTGTTTCTGGCACACTGGGACAAATATCGCCAGTTACTAGAGGAGACATCTCCCAGTAGCGATATTGCACATGTACCTCGACAAATACTTGCTGCCAAGCAACAAGCCACCTGGCGCATCCGAGTCCCGCACCACCGTCCAGACCCGGACAAGCATTTTATAACGATCTCGAACCACAGACTGCACCTATTGGCAAAGTAGTGCAAATCTAGTCACAGACATAACCTCAAAAACAAGTTGAAGATCCTCCAACGGCAAATAGAGGACCAGACCACCACCCTTACCTCTGAAAAATGGATAACCGTCTGTGAAGGCATTAACGGGAATACGTCTATGCACCGAGTTCGGGGGATACTACGCTTCCTTGCAGGACAAACCAAAACATCCAGTGGAGCAAGTTAGAATTCCAATTGGATCCAATAAGAATTTTTGACTGGGACTGGTCTTGTTTTGCAAGAACTCAAGGCAGCCATCACGTCCCTGAGATCATCCGGCCATTAGTCATCATACGCTGGGTCCCTGCCTACAGTGGCATACCTGGTAACGAGACAGCCCACAGGCTCGCGCTCACACATCCCCGTTCTGTGCTAGCCATGGGAGTCGTCTTTTTCCTTGTCTCTAGTTGTCCCCTCCCAGATCATTGCTGACCCCTGGCACGACCTGCGCTCTATGAAATCCAGGCGTGCCACCTGCCTCTTTATGGCTGCTAAGCCACTATCCATCCGCACCATACCCTTTTCCCATCTCTCTTGTAGGGAAGCCATTCTGGTTCGCAAAATTTAGACGGGGACCCTAGTGACACCGCATCTTCTGCAATGGTTCCACGGGAACGACAGGGGGAGAGTGTCATCTACACCTGATACCTGCTTAAGCTGCCAGTCCAGGGCAGACCTGCTCCATTACCTCTGGTCCTGCTCGCGGTATACTGCACCCCAAAAACGGGCTTTGACATCCAGTACCCTCATCCCTGCACATCTGGGCCTGTCCTGACACCACCATCCCAACCGAGCACGCCCTAGAAATTTGGCGGGGTTTGCTCATGTTCTTCAGAGACCCAATGGCTCCTCAATTGGGGAGCCATCTCCTTTCCATGACCGGGAGGATGCAGCCACCCCACCCTCCCCTTCAACAACCACTGCAGTGTCACTGCAAATATATGGTCATTAGACGTGTGTTCAATTTAATTCATGCATGCAAATCAATACCTGCAAGAGAATTTTAGATCAAGTATAGACAAAAAGTGCTAGCATGTACACATGAAACACGGTTAATGGAAACAAGTGAGTAGCAGTTTTTATAAATTTTATTGTTAGAATTAAAAGGCCATGGTGAAAACTATTAGTGTGGTGGAGGGTGTCCATTCAGGTCAATAACGTAGCCGGAAAAATTTTGTGTTGGCAAATACCATGTCGAAGCAAAATGCCAAAAAGCACCAATGTTATGTCCATGCTACCTGTGTAATGCAACATATAAACCGTTCCAATAAAGAGCTCTTGGCAAGGGTCATCCCAAATGTTTGTGCAAATACCACGTGCGTCAGTGGCTTTTTGAAGTGACGAACAAACACATGCTGGGTTTTGGATTTATAAACACTGGAAGTATGTATAAAACAGACCCTTTCCAACAGTCAGAGGCCCCTCGTGGCAGTCGTCAAAAGCTCCAATATTTTCACCTGGATGGCGGTGGTAAGAGAACAAAATCACCTAAATCAAGCACCCTCAACTCCGTGAATGGAAGGCGACATACAAGGATTAACTTGACAGAATCGATTATCCGTATTTTGGCTTTATACTCTCGGAGACATTAGCTTTTTTTGGTGTGGAAGGAGCTGCGCAATGTCGTCATTCGAGCGGCAGGTTTGGCTCTGGACGCAGTGGGTATACTGACATTTGAAAAGGGTCTATTGTGGGTGCAACCCTTGCAAACATTCACATGCTGCTGGGTGCAGAATGCCCTCCACAGCATGCATTTTTAATGTCATTTAGCTCACGTATAATATTAGTCGAATTCATACTTTCGAACTTCGGTGGTTTCTGAGGTTACAAGGCTGGCCTTGACATCGAATTGGTCAAACCAACTTGGTGGCTCCATAATCTGGCGATAATTAGCAAGAATGATATAACTTTTTCAAAAAATTCGGGCAATCTAGATAGCCGCTTTTGTTGCTGCCACAACCATGGCCATAAGACATTTATGTTTATTCTGGTGCATGATACTTTTAATTGAAGGAAACCAGTAATTGAAAAGTATCTCCAGCCCCCCAACAGTATTTAGACATGGAAATAAACGCAGTTCGTTTATTGACATATTTGTGTTCCGAATATCTAAACACAACATCGTGAAATCCTAGAGCAGAATGGACTAAAAAACTGAGCATGACTTCTGTGTAAAATTATATAACAATTTTGGACATCTTGACTTTTTTTTTTACATAAATACTAATTAGCAAAACAAGAGAAAATCCACATAAATAATTTTTGCTCAGTTTCGGTCCCACTTTTTAGAGCGCAGCTCTTAGGCGCCCGTTTCCGGCTAGAGCGGCGTCGGCGTAACTGTAAGGTCACGTGACCCGTCCCAGGTCACGTGACCCCCCCAAGGTCACGCGACACCCCAGGTCACGTGACACCCCAGGTCATGTGACACCCCAGGTCACGTGACCCCCTCCTGTCACGCGACACCCCCAAGTAACGCGACCCCCCTAAGGTCGCATGACCCCCAAGCGAGCGAGTGGTAGCACGGTGCCATCAAAGGGAGCCCGACCTGAATGAGGAGCAGGATGGTGGTGAGCCTCCTCTCGTGCAACCTGCCCGTGAGCACGAGCACGAAGTTGATGAGGGTGAAGTTACTGCACTCCACCTCATCCTTGTGAGGGCCCGGCACCTCGGCGTAGCTGACGAGGCCCAGGCAGCGGTAGACCCGCACTATGAGCAGCCCCAGGGGGCCCAGGGAGGACAGCCGGAACCGGACTGTGCTCACCTCCATCTTGTCCTCCCCCGCATTGTACCTGGGATGGTGGAACCAACTCTGTAGAGCAGTAAATCGCCACACTGACACAAGAGAGGGTGTCCCTTTTATCTGCGTCCACGACCGAAGCCTGTAACGAGACGGACCGTTGCTGGGCTTGCTCGCATTACTAGTACGTAGCACTTGAAAAATCCTTGAAATCGAGAGGTCAAGTACAACCTCTCATAACTAGGAAATGGTATCAATATCTAAAGTAGTAAAATTGTTACACAATAAGGTCAGTAAAGAAAAAAAAATGAAAGATGTTTACAAATTTCTGTAATGCGAAATTAGAGTGCAGCTCATGAGGAGAAGGAAGGGGTATAAATGGGAGGGTATGCCCCTCCTTGTCCCCTTCCTCTTCTTTCCTCCAGCTAAATTTAGCTAAATTTAGCTGGAAAATTGACACGTGAACTCAAACACCAATTAAACTTCTTCACTAAATTTAGCGGGGAAAATGACATCACATGACTGTGTGTCACGTCACCTATAAACAAACTGAGTTTCCCCGCTAGATTTAGTGGGAAAATTGATGTCACGTGACCTCAACAGCAATTCAATTCCCCACTAAATTTAGCGGGGAACTGAATTGCTGTTGGGGTCACATGACATCGATTCCCCGCTAAATTTAGCAAAGAAATGAATTGCTGTAGAGGTCACATGATGTCTATTTTCCCTGTTAAATTTAAAGTGGTTACGCCGACGGCGAGAGCGACTGCGACGCCGCGAAACACAGAAACAGGTGCCCAAGAGCTGCGCCCTAAAAAGGAAATCTTTCAAAAGATACAGCATGGTTACTGTACAAGCATCTAAAAATCCCCGTACAAGGAAATTCACCCCGCTACATTCACAGTGATGTGATTGGTCTGAGTCATTTTGAAGCAGCAAAACTAATTTTTGTAGCATGAGCACATTTCATTTTTATTAATACCAATGCAAACATTATGTTAAGAGTAATGTTTCGACCTGTCCACCTAAAAGGCAATGTGTACATTGCCTTCTAACCTTACATAAAACCCTTTGTTAGCATCAATTGCACAGCAGGAGTCCCTCAAACACAAAGCTTTAGTGTTCAGCTGCGTGTAGAGGCACCAGACAGGGTGACAAGAAGGTGAGTGGACAGCACAAACTGCTTTAAATGGTTATTTTAGGTACTGAATCCCACTGATATAGTGCAACATTATTGAGCACATAAATTAATATTTCCTTCAAGTCCTTCAAGTTCAAAGTATCCTTGCATCTCGAATTGAAAAAAGTACCGTCAGGATACCGCACTCTATCATATATATGAGCCAAAGTTGTATTCAGGAATTGTGTCGTGCCTCGCTTTGGAAGAGTGCTTTCCCCTTGAAGAAACACTGAAGAAAAAAAAAAATATTTTTTTAAACAGTGTGGTTATTCGCAACTCCAACGACCTATAGGTGGCGGGGCGGTAGTTCCAATATGGCGGAAGAGACGGGGACAGATTCTCCAGGATATCCCGTGCGCCTGCTCGCTGACGCTGTTCAGCGCGCTAAAAACGATTTATTTGTGTACGAATGCGAAGCGGTTAAGGAGGGATCATATAACATGTGACGGGGATGTTGATGCACGTTAAGAAAACGAGCATGCTGTTATTTAAAAGTTGCAGAAACCTCAAAGTGCGAAGCTTTGTGGTGAGCGAGCGCGTTTTAGGCACTGGCCACGTTACTGTTTGTGGCAGAATATTTTTGAGGGTGATGAAGATATGTTTGCGCTTTGCCTGGCCATTAGTGCGTTAAAAAGAGAGCCGCGAACGCTGACCGTCAAGGTTCGAAAGAGCAGCGCTCACAGTATTGGTGTCTTCGCGTCACAGCCTCACAACTCGCTGCTCACCGTCTCGGTTTTAGTGTATTGCAACACGTAATCAAACTATTGTATGGTTATTGATAAAACGTTTGTTACCGCAGGCTACCGTGCGGTGTAGCACTCCAACCGTAAGCTCGCGCTGCGCCTTTGGAGCACAATTTTCAGTGTGCGCCAGGGGCGTTGCCGTGCTCCTCACTCTAAAAAATAAAAATGTTGGTGTCCTTACACCGCTTGTCACATATACGACACTCCAAAACTTCATTTCGCCGTGCAGCCCACTGATGTCAAACTGACGGCCCCAACTTTTACGAGAGGCTTGATGACAGCACAGTACAAGATATTAAACAGCTAAAATACGCATCAAAGGGTAACGAAAAACAAAACAAAAAATACCGAGGTTCTGCAGTAGGGCCGAAAAAACCCCCGATTCCTTTTTTTTTTTAGTCATTTACGCTATGCAAAAGCTGCCTATTAACATAATCGGCGTGTTTAGAGATTTTATTTATTGCTCTATCATAAAAAAAATATTTTAATATACTGTGTATTTGTTGTACCGTGTTATTTGCTGCATTGCCGTCCCTCTGACCAAAACTGCGCGTTCTAAGCTCTCGTCACAAACGGCTGGCTAACACACACGCACTTAAAATGCTTCGAGCATTTCTTTATTTGCTTTGTAATTACCTGAAAGCAACTATGAGTATCCTGTCTTTTTAAAGTGTTTGGAATAAATGGTCATGTTCCTTGTAGCGGCCTTAAAACGCGAACCCATTCCCGATTTGTATTGCTCGACATACCGTTGCGCGACGAGTTTTCTCTTACTTATGGCAAAGAATAGACTTTCTGTAGACTGTACTATAGAGTTCTTCATTATTAAGGGGAGCGTTTTCCGTCACGTTGAGCACAGATTGAGCTGGCGGCCATGCACAAGACCAGAAATCCGCAGCGTATGCGATACACGAAAAGTCCCTAATGAAATTAGACCTGCCGGTCCTTTGTGCAAGACTGTTGCAAGGCAGAGCACAAGAATTCCTTTTTTAACGCGCTAATTTTTCTTCGTTAAAACGGCTTCACGCATCAAGGCCGACAGTCCCTGCCACCGTTTCCGAGCCACCGTCGCCGCTGCCGTCCCCGCTCCTCTGGTTGTCCATTCGTCCGCGGGAGGGCGAGCGGCACGCTGGAGTCGCGAATAACACATGCATCAAAAAATTAATTTTACGCAAAAATTTTCTTTTTTGTTAGACCAATATTGATGGCGCGAGATTTATTTTAGTTAAGTCTGAATTAGGCGCGCAAAGCCCATGACGTCATGGAGGTGTCAAACTCTTTCCATCTCAACGAGATGGTCATACACTCTCTACACCTCAACGTGATGGACACAGCTTCTCTCCTCCGGGTGCTCAAAATGCCGAGTAAGAAAACAAGGGAAAATGAAGTGACTACCGACTAAATTGCGTCTCTAACCGTGAATATTGCCCTAAAAGAATTTGTTTTTACATAAAATTTATTTCTTGACACGTGTGTCCCAACTACTGTTTAAAAAAACCTTTTCAGTGGTCCTTTAACATGGGGGTGCGCTGTGGCAAAGCAAGACATGCAAAATCGCAATGCCTACTCTGCGGTTTTCGCTTCTCTGTAGTACACGAAAGCGCGGTGAGAAGTGCACTCGACGAGGCCAGAATGAAAGAGACGACGAACGTGAGAATTATTGCAAAAGTTTCGGATACTGTCAGTCTTTCATAAAAAATGCGATTGATTAGTATGGTATTTGAGACGATAATGAAAAGTTCTGAAAACTCGCATAAGCATATCCTATTGGACTGGCCGGGCAACGAGGCCTGAGCTATTATATTTTCAGTATTATTAAAGTAAAATGAAGTTTTGGCACAACGATGGTGAAAATTCGTCACATTTTGGTAAAATGTAGCAGGATGTAGCAGGGTAAGCACTTCGGCTCAGTTTGGCGCGATTGGCGCAGCAATCGCATCACTGCATTCATGTTTTGTTACATGAGGGAAGGCCCCAAAGCTTGTGTTTTCAATATGAATATGAAGGCTAAGAAAGATGGGTTTGATATGAAATAAATCACATATTTTGTACCTGGCAATTAAGAAATAAGAGCATTGGGCATTTTAACTGGGTTGGGAAAGGAAACGAAAAGTAGGTGAAAAAAAACATGGAACAGATGTTTCAATGGCAACTACATAAAGTAAGGAGGGGAGAAAAGGAAGAAAGGAAGAATAAAAGTAAATGTGCAAAGCAAACCTAAGCAAGTATTGAATGCCAAAGCTCTGTCTGCTGGTAGGAGAGGCCCCTCTTGGAGAGAAGTACAGAGGGAGACATTTTAGTTTGAAAAATTTGAGCCAAAGGCAACCCGTGAGTTTGTGTTGCCACATGATCTTGCACTGCATAGCCGTGCAACCAATATATCTTCAGAATGATGCTTAACCTGCCGACGTCCTTGCACATCTCATCAGGCAGCAAGGTAAGGCATCACTGACTCGTGCTCCTTCGGCTTGGAGAGCTTTCAAGCGCACATCACTCACCATCACTCAAAACACGTCCCATTGGCTAAGACGTATCACATCAAAGCAAGGCATTAAAAGTGTCACTCTCATCTCTAAAAGATATTTAACTGTCCACCTCGATGAGTAAATAATCCAATGCAACTTGGATCAAGACCTATGGTATAAAAGCATCACGCAAAGAAAAAGAAAGCTGAAAGAAATATTTTTGATGTATAACTAAATAACAATAAAACTAAAAAGGCAATGCACCTTATTATAAGTTTGAAATAAAAAAATAAATGTAGCTATTTAGGCAAAACCAGTTTTGAAGCATGTGGTTGCCATGAAGCCAGCAATACCTGGTGTCATTATATGCTGATCATTTGTTAAAAATATTCGCTCGTGTTGTATTAATCAAGCAAAGCTGTGGGCCACGTCGAGGAACTTCAAAACTCCACCGAAATCGCCGCGACAACTGACGAATCATCGCCGCCTAAGCAAGACATTTCGCCGCCAGCGCAGCTCGACATCGACCCGAAGCTTCCAGGCCCGAAACGACGACAGCTGATTGACCTCCTCGCCGAATACAGCGACTGCTTCGCAATGTCGTCGAAGGTGCGCCAAACCACCGTTGCGGAGCATCGCATCGTCACCGAGGACGACGCACTCC